AAAACTGTCGCAGGAAAAAAATAAAATCTACATACGAATTTTAATAATAAAATTTTCAATACATATATTATTTATTTAAAAAAAAAAAAAACAAAACTTTTTTTTTCTTGTTGTTAACATCGCATTATTTATAACGAATATTATTATTATTATTATTATTATTATTATTATATCATACGTTATTATATAATAGTATAAAATTATTTTTAATTACGTAATGATAACTTTTAAACTATAAATTTAAAAAATATATATACACTTATGTAATAACAAAAAAAAAAACGTTGCAAATAAATAATAATAATAATATATTAATTAAACAAAAACAAAAACGTGACGTCATCAATACAAAAAAAAATAGATTTATGATCGTTTGTCGGTTTATTTTTAATCGTTTAGTATAATCATAATAATGATAATAAATAATTATTATCATCGTTATCACTGATTAGTAGCAGTAGTAGTGATAGTAGGGGCAGTGGTAGTGGTAGGAATAATGAATAAAAATTTTTCTTAATATTTGAAGAAGATGGAGAAGAAGAAGAAGAAGAAGAAGAAAAATCACGTGGTTTTCTTTTCTTTTTTTATTAATAGATTTTTATATTTGAAATATAAAACGAATTTTTATAGCATTAAGTTATAGCATAAGTGCTACCTGAGAATTCAAAACCATTAGACATTTATTACCACTCATAAAAAAAATATATATATATATAATTTTTTTTTTTTTTTAATAAATCGAATTGATTTTAGACGAAATAATAATAATAATAATAATAATAATAATAATAATAATAATAATAATAATAATAAAGAAAATATTAAAATATTTGACCTTGAAAAACGTACGAAAAATAAAAAATAAAAATAAATTTTTTTTCTTATATTTTTCTGATTTGCGTTCTAGAAAAAAAATAAAAATTTAAATTTATTATTATTATTATTATTACTATTATTATTATTATTTAATAATAATGATAATAATATCGTATTTTTTTCTTTTTTGATTTAATATAATTTATTACGTCGAGTCCAAAAATCTTTTTTTTTTTTTAAATTATTTAATTTTTTTGTAATAAAAAAAAAAAAAATGGCGGTAAAGGGTAGGAGGGAGGGAGGGAGGAGGAGGGAAGGTAAAAAACTCGTAAGGAATTTTTTTTTATATTAAAAATTCGTGGATTTTAGAAAAAAAAAGAAATTTTTTTTTTTTTTTTTTACGGTTCCTCGTAATAATTAGATAAATTTTCAACGATACGAGATTGATCGAATGATGCAAATACGATTCTTATACAATTTGTAAATCCGGCTTTTTTTCTATAACCACTGACTAAAACTAGGAGATCACCGCATTCGATAATGCCACGATTTTTACCATAAGATATACCATATTCAAATCTCGATTTAACATCTTGAAACCAATCGTCCAAAGGCTCTCCTGCAAATAATTACGTATATATATATTCAATAATAATATAAAAAAATTATAAAGAGAGAGAGAGAGAGAGAGAGAAAGAGGTAGGAAAAAGGTTTACCGGAATAATGTAATGGTAATACAGCTCTCCATAAATTCAATTGTCTTGCCACGCGACCCACTCTCGTTATGGCTATTATAGGTCGTCTTGGACGAAACCAGGACAATAATTGAGCCGTTCTTCCACTGTTTGTTATTGTTAATATGGCGGATGCTTGAATTTTATTTGCTATTTGTACAGCTGCTAAAGCTATCGCATTAATTGGTTCAACAGAAGGAGTAAGCTTAAAAAAAATAATAATAATAAATTGCTTTTTTGTAAATTTATTTTCAATGATGAAAAACAAGCGAAGAGATTAACGTATTTGACCTGGCACTTGGTCTCTGACACGAATATATACGTGAGAAAAAAAAACATTAAAAGAAAGTGATTGTAATAATAATAATAATAATAATAATTATATCTGTGGCACGTATTAAGAATGTATAAACAAAAATTTTCTCCATTAATTAATCAGTTACAACATTTGTTTTTTTTAAAAAAAAAAAATATTTTGGGTTTTTTTTTTAATTGCATACATCGTAACTCATTTTAATCTTTTAAGCCTAGCACACACACACACACACACACACACACACACACACACACACACACACGTATTATTTAAAAAGAATTATTATTATTATTATGGTTAAGAGACTAACTTCTTTAGTCAAATCGCAAAAAAATGTTTTTTGCATTGTAACTGCTTCCGCTTCGGTTATGACACGTGATAATTCAGAGACAACCGTGACGCCTTCATTTCCTAAAGCCGTTTCCGTTATCAATATTATACCATCGGCTCCATCAATAATTGCATTGCTTACGTCATTTATTTCAGCTCTTCTAACTATGACGTTACCGGAAAACCAAGAACTAAATTCTGCCGTACATAAAACGGGTTTTCCTGCCTGAAAAAAACAAAAAAAATGGGAGAATTTTTTCCTCTTAAATTTTCCTATTATTATTATCATTATGTTGTTTAAACTCACCGCGTTACATTTTCCAATTATTTGTTTTTGTGCAATAAACATTTTTTCCGCGGAAATTTCCAAACTCAAATCATTTTTCTGAATTATTATACCATCGGATATTCTTAATATTTCATCAATGTTTTCTAAACCTTCGCAACTTGATATTTTAGAAAAAACTAATATTTTATTTTCTTCTTCACGTGTGTCTAGAAAATATTTTTCAAAATTTGTCATTTCATTAAAATAACGTTCGTATTTAAATTTTAACGGATATTTTTTTTTAAAAATAAATTTCACGGTCGAGCAAGAATATAAGCGACCGTTAGGAAAATTTAACGAACGCTTCCGGTCAAATGAAAAAATAATAAAAATAAATTTTTTTTTCTTTTATTTTCTTCACCTTAAACTTCAATAATAATAATAATAATAGCAAACGAACGTTTTTTTTATTTATTTAACAAACTTTTAGAATGAATTTCGTGCTGGAGAAAAAGAAAGAAAATAGTGATAATAAAATCGTCGTAAGCTAAACATATCATTTACTTTCTTTTTTATTATTATTATTATTATTAATTTCACACGGGTGCGTTCAAAATTTAAAGAAAAAAAAAAAAAAAAACTTTAACTAATATGTCTTTATCAAATATTACGATAATCTTATGTCGGTAATAAAAAAAAAAAAAAAAAAAAAATTATACACACGTGAAAATTTTGTTAAACTCACGTGTGATATTATCGATAAAATATAAAATTTTTTTTTTTTTTTTTAGAAAAAACGTTAAAAAAACGGAAAATGTAATAATAATATGGCGTTCAAATGTGACACTCGCGCGGTTATATTTCAAATACTCTCATATTTTGAATTTACGGCATATAATTTAAATATAATTTATGTTTGTACTTAAAGCATTCTTGATTTCCTTAACGACAACGGAATTCCTTGCCGATGGTACAACAACAACATCAACATCCATTTCAATGGCTAATTTTAAACATTCTTCATCGAAAGGTGACAATGCTGGAATAATGGCGGGCAACATTGGAACGTGAACTTTTTGATTATCTTTCAATTTCCCTGCTTTTTCAACGAAACACACGACGTTTTCATTTTCTGTTAATTTAAATTTGAAACAAGTTATTTTATTTTTTTTTTATTTCATCTTATCCGGATTCCGTAACGGTTTTTTTTTTCAAAATGGCTACCAAAATGTCTTGGGTACCTATCAAATCCACGACCAATTTGATTTGTCCATCTCCGAGGTAAATAATATCACCGTCGCAAGCTTGTTCGAGCAATCCGATATAATTAACGTAAATGATTTTTTCCGTACAACGATTTTCAAATAGTTTATTAACGGTTAATCTGACGAAGGATCCATGTTTAAGGTACAATTCTTGAGGAGATCCTTTTTTAATTCGATTCTGTAAAAAAAAAAAAAAAAAAAAAAATTATTTCGATTCGAGTAATTGATATATCGAGAAAGAAATAATCGATAAAATTTAAATTTAACCGAATCGATTTTTCCGGTTCTTATTTCGGGGCCCTTTAAATCCATCATTATTGATATGGGTATATCGAAATCTTCCATGACAATATATTGATTATTTGCTTCTATGACATTTCTAAAAGGATCTCGCATGTTACAGGGATCAATGTGCGCCATGTTTATTCTGGCTACATTCATTCCAGCTTTTATGAGTAGCAAAATATTTGATGTATCCGTACAAGCGGGTCCTTTGACAAAAAAAAAAAATTTCATTTTAAATTCGGGACAAAATTTTATTTGAAGAAGGAATTTTTTTTTGGCGGGAAAAACATTACCTAATGTACCGATGATGGCGGGTTGTCTGAACGGATGAGGTTCGCTTGTTACTTTCAACGAACACATTTGTCTGAGGACTGTGGGTTGTTGTGCGGCTCTAAATTGATGAATGTTTTCTTGAATATCTATTTCAGATTTTAAACCGTATGCGGGCTGATAAAATATTAATCTTTTTATTTGAAACCCTTAAGTAAATAATAAAAAACTTGTAAACGACCAATTGCCATTTTAAATATCACTTCTCACCCATTTTCCCAAACAAGGTGGTCTTCGTCCGGATGGATCTTTTATCATACGACGTAAAATGTTACCTGTTGTCGTACCAGGTACCGAACACTAAAAAATTTTTCGAATAAATATCAATTTGCCAATTAATTTTCCTTTACTCTAAATTTAGGGTATGTTTTTAGGGTGGGACGTTTTGTTAAATATTAAAACGAGTTTTCAACTTACAGTACTCTCTTTGCTTTCACATATTTCTCTATCAGTTTTGGGCATACATACATATTCATCTGACAACTGAAATAAATAAGTTTTAGATTTTTGTCTTTAAAAAAAAAATTAGTTTTGAATTAAAATTGAATGGCGTGACATTTTTCCTTTTTTTTACCTCTCTATTTTCACTCCCATCTTCTGGGTCATAAATATAAGATCCTGTGGACGATTCCTATGATAATTAAATTTTATATTTTAATTTTATTATGTTTCATTACTGTGTTTAACCTAAATAAGGTCTTACAAGCTTAACAACACTTTAACAACACAGTAAACTTGTTTTTACTTGTAATAAAATTTTTTGTTTAATAAAAAAAAACTTACCATTGTGAAAAAACTTTTCTTTTTTTTTTTTTTACTTAATGATAATAATAATATAATTTAATAAAAGAATAAAAAAATTGATTTGCAAATATAAAAGAACATTAAAGGTTGAAAACAATAACAAAAGGAAAGTAGTGTGAATTTAATTTTAGATTTTCAAATGTTTTATTTTTTTTAAAGTAGAACAAATGTACATACAAAGTTTAATATAAAATACTAATTTTAAAATATATGAGAGTAAAAATTTACAAAATATTCATTCATTAAACAAATACTGTAATAAAATATTATGATTCTGTTTGAGCAGCTTCAGCACCCAGAGCGACAGATGTTGCCAAATCTAAAGTTTTTACTTCATTTTTCAGTCTTTCTCGTATTAATTCAGCGATTGCTTTGTGAGTTCGTCTTTCCAATTTTTCAAGCTTTTTAGATATATCTCTTTTCAAATCCCAATCTGGTTTTTGAGGAGCTAAATTAGAAATATCCTGCAAAATATAAATTTTTATTAAGAAAAAAGGGCAATTAACCATCACACTTAAAATTAGTTTTAATATAATACAATTTACTTACTAATTCTTCAATTACAACTTTAGCTTTAGCAGCTTCAAGTTGGTCCTTAACTTCAACAAGCACATCTCCAGGTTTAGAGTCTTCAATTATTTGTTCTTTTAATTTGTCATCTTGTGGTCTATAGCTTCTAAATTTCGGCCTATAAAAATTTAATTTACGTTAATACATTTAATATTATTTTAAGAAATGCATTTCAAAATTTTCTCACAATAAATATAACCTAACTTGGTTTGAAATGTTTAAATGTAAGTGCTTACGGTTGTATTTAAAATTTGCGATTAATAGTTTTTTTTATATATACTTACTTAGGTAAATCAATAGATTTATTAGTGGTAGATTCCTCGGAGGTATCTGAAATATTGTGCTTTCTTTTGAGAGCTTTTAATCTTTCTTTTCTTTTTAAACATTCTTCTTCCAAAGTTCCTATATTTTCGTCGTCAGCCATTTTAAAACAATTTTTAAACTGGAATTAATTTTTTTAATATTGGCAACAGTTACATTTACCGGGTTTTTTTCCCTCTTGATAATTTTTTTTCTGCAATTTAATACCATGTATTAAAATGATTTAAACTTTTTCTTTTATAATAAGTCTTAACTTAATTAAACTTTCCTTTTATTTTTTAATTTGTTAACGAAGTGTCGGAATAGTGAAAATTTTATTTAGTGAAATAATAATTTAAAATTACTAATCAGTAATAACTATAGTGATTTCGTTACATAACTAAATGTGGACTCTTAAGGTAAATTGATTTATTTAATGTCGTTTCAATTTAAATTATTTAATTGCTCATGTATTTTATTCAACTACGCTTATTTAGAAAGGAAAATTAATTTTTGTTATTTCCGTATTTAATTTCTTTTTGAAATAATGATTAAGTTGTTTTCAAAAGTTTCAATTTTTAATGGCAATCATTCGATAAAATTACTAATAGTTATTGAAGATCCTAATATGTAATGAAGGAAGAGTTTTTTTTTTTTTTTTGAATCAAATAATTATTTATAAATATAATTTAAAATGATTTATTTCAATATTTTTAAGATTAGTATAAAAATAATTGAATGAATGAACATTTCGAATTTGATAAGGGTAAATTTATTCAATCCCTTTTTAAAATATGAATATTTATAATTTGAGCAATATTATTAATTAAAACTTTTTCTATAACCTAGCTAAACATGATGGCATAATCTTATAAAGATGAATACATTTCTGGGTAAAAATTTTGGAAAAGTAGCATATTAATAGTATTTTTTTTTTTTACAATCGAAAGTTTGCATATAATTATGCTTTATTCTCATTTTATATTAAATAATTTAAAATGTTTGTTTTAAATTGAAGAAGAAAAGTAAAAGAACAATGAAATATTTGTTTGAAAAAGCTCATCGATATTTGAAGTAGTAATTAATGAACTTAATACTCTCACATAAATATGTGCATGTATGTTCGAACATAATCATTTGTTTGTATTTATAATTTGCATCATGCTTAAAAAATCTATTCTAATGAATTTTTAGACAAACTTATTGAAATGAGTGGTTAATTAACCTGTTGAAATTCACTTTCGAGTCTAGGACTCATTTCTAATTAGTTTTTTTTTTTACTTAAATTTTTCTTAATATATATAATATATAACTTAATTTTGTACACCTAAGATTTCATTATCATAAATTCATGCATTTAAAAAAAAAAAAGCTAGTTAAGTAAATTCTAAGTATAATATAAATATAAATTATTGTCATAATATATATATAAGAAAATGTAGTCGATTACTCTGTTTTATGATTGTGATTGTTTTTATAAGCAAAACTGAAGTGTATATAAAGTTATGTAAACACATTTTACAGATATTACTACATTTTTTTTTTTTTTAAATTAAAAAATATTAAGTTTTTTAAATAAAATAAATAATGATTTTTAATATAATAAGAGAAAATTATTTTGGTGGCATGAAATTATGAATTGGAGAGACATTTTATTAAATATGCTACTTTTTTTGGTCGTTAATGTTTTCTATTGTCAAACTTTTCCTTTTTCTTCTTTCATTTCTTAAAACTGTATCTTTTACATCGGGATCTGATCGTTCGTGATTGAGTGCCAACACCTTAGAAACAATATTCAAATCTTCTTGACCTGATCCACTTCCTGTTACTCCAGATTGATATAAAAGACTTTGTAATTTTTTGTTTACATTTTCTGCATTGTTAACAGTGTAGGTGTTCGTTTGTTGTGGTCCGAATTGGGAGTATCTGTTGCCCTGTTGAAATTGATTGCTTATGGGTGTGTTACGATAATGTTCGTCAGGAATCGTTCTGTATTCTGGTAACCTCGTGTAAATTTGGTTGGATTGAAAATGATTACGATTGTCAAAATTTTTATTCCCCTGATTGTTAAAACCGAAATTTCCTGTAGATCCTAATCCCTCTTGCCTGTTTACTCTATGTTGATTTCCTGAATTTCTAAAAGTCACCGGGGATACGAAATTCTGTGACGGTTGAATGTGATAATTAAAGTTATTAGGTGCCCGAGCTGGAGGTCTAAAGTTTGATGGACCATTGTGATTGAAGGTAAATCCAACGCTTCTTTGAAAATCTACACCGTTTTCTTGTCGCTGTTGTCGAAGTCGTAATTGAGTTTCATAAATTTGCCTTTGTCTTTCTTCCTCCAATTGTCTTTGTCTATTTTGCTCTTGTATATGTCTTTGCCTTTGTTCTTCAATTAATCTGTTTCTATTTTGTTCTTCGAGTAGCAATCTAGTTCTAATCCTTTCCTGTTCTTGATTATTTAAGAAAACAGGATTGGGATTGGTTTCCAAAGAGGGAACAATTATTGGCGTTTGAAATCTACCTTCGTTTTGAAGTGGCAACGTGACGGGAGGGATATTAAGTGATTGCAATCCAGGGGCAGGCGTCACAGATTGCACAGGAAAACTTTGTGCGGGTGTCGGAGTTAAATTAATGCTGTGCGATTGAACGACGTTCACACCGTTGAAATCTTGGGGCGGCAGTAAATTTTGTGCGAAAGATTCAGGGGAAATTCTTTGCGGTGGAAGAGTTGTCAGAAAGTTTTGATGAGTTCCTTTAAAAGGAGCCGCCGTTGTTGGGGAATGAAATGATTGAGACGGAATGGGAGTGAAACTTTGCTGAAGTATCGAATTGGAAACCAATGGTGGGAATACAGGGGCAGAAGTAAAAGCTGTACCAACAGTTCCCGGAAAGAAAAATCTAGACTGATCAAATTGATTAACTGCAGCTAGAGGTGTGAGAGAAACGCCTGGTATAAATTGATTTTGTAACAATTGTTGTTGTTTGAGGAGAGCATACTGCTGTTCTAAAAGTTGCTGTTGTCTTTGTTGAAGATTTTGCTGTTCTTTAGTTAACAATGGAATGACACTGTGAGGAGTGCCTTTCGAGTCCTGATGTAACGTGAACGCAGTTAGCAAAGGCGCTTTAAATAATTCAACTTCATTGGCGGTGTTACTCGATTTTCCATCTTCTTTTTGAATTTCTTTTTGATTTTCCGTACTTGATTCGTTCTCGTTATTTGCATTTTGTTCTTTGCTCCCATCATTTGGAATAAAATTCGATTCTATGCTACTCGGATTGCTCGTCGAATCGGAACCTTTCGATTCTTGTCCTAAATTCGCACTTCGTTCCTCTTGCAAAGGAAGCGATGTCGAGTACTGAAACGTATTTTGAGGAATCGGTGTCGTGTTTTCAACCGGAGCATCCGCATCATTTCCATTATTTACTTCATGAGATGGAGCACTCAAATCATTAATTAGCGAAGATGAAAAAGCTGATGATTCCGCGGGTTGCTGAATTTCTTCTTTTCTCTCTTCGATGCGTTCGACGTAGTTTCCGACCAAGTTTCTAGGTTCAGACCTTATGTCTCTCGATTCTTCGGCTCGTAATTTTTCTTCGGCTTCTTTTTCCAATTCGACCAAAGCTCTTAAAAGTGCTTTTCTCAACAACGGATCCAAGTGTAAATTTTTATTCGATAGATTTTGCCGTAGAATTGATGTTTTTAATATATCCGAAGCGTCTTGATTTCCGAGACACGCAAGTGAAAATGCGGACAGGAAAAGTAATATTAACTGAAAATTAAAAAAAAAAAAAAAAAAAAAAAAACCATAAATCATAATTTTTTTTTTGGTTTTCTTTTTCGTAATTTAAATCGCTTATATTAATATAATTTTTTTTTTTTTTTTTTTTGGAAATTAATTCATCTTTACGTTAGAATGATATATTATTATTATTATTATTTTAAAATAAAAATTTGTCTTTAATCAATGTTAATTAGGCTAATGCAAAAAATTATTATCAAAAAAAAAAAAAAAAAGAAAAAAGTTGATGACCTTTATGAAAATTCACAAAAAAATTATTTTAATATATTTTATTATCATTAATTTATTTAATACGTAAATTTTTTTTTTTTTATTTTAAGGTGAACCCTTGAACTTGAAGTCGATTCGCGGTGAAAGTGATTTTTCTGGAAAGATTTAATGCGAATTGTAAATTATCAATATAATAATAATAATAATACAAATGAATTCGCATCAAAGAAATTTCTATCGCATATTATTCGTAAGTTCATTTTAATGTCAGCTACTTTAAAAAAAAAAGTGAAATTTTTTTTTTTTTTAAAACAAAAAAAAAAAAAAAAGATTTTCACGGTTTTAAATTTATTATTATTATTATTATTTATCGTGATTTAATTATTTTATAATTATGCGGCCATTTTTTTTTTTTCTGGTAAACTTCAAAGAACTAAACTTAATTAATTAGGGTTTTTTTTTTCCACGACGTTTTTTTTTAATCATTTTCCGCGTAATGATTAACGTAACATTTATATTAATTTTAATTTGACCGGATGTTCAATTAAATAGTAACGTTTAATTTAATTTTTCACTTTTTTTTTTTTTTTTCTTTTGGTGTACGTAAGCTTTTAGTGATGAGAAAATGGTATCTGATCATTTTAACTTAATTGAGCTTTTAGAGAAATTAACTGACGAACGTAATAATAACGAACGTGAATATCGTTTTTTTTTTTTTTTTTTTACTGAAATCATTTTGGCCTTTTATTTTTAAATATCAAAAAAAAATTTTTCGTTTCCCGTTTGTTAGGTTGTTTGTTTGTTTGTTTGTTTGTGATAATTTCAATCGACACCTTTTTTAGAAATTTGTCCTATTACGTTTTGCTTACGTAACGGTTTTTGTTGTTGTTGTTGTTGTAATTTTTGCACTTTTTATGGGCTTCGAATTTAATTTTTTTTTTTTTTTTTATTCGCTTCGTGTAATAAATAATAATAATAACGAATCCGTTTTTCGTTGATTAATTTTTTTTTAAAATTAATATTACGTAAATTTTAAATCGAAAAAAAAAGTTTTAAAGACATCAGTTTTCTAATAACGACCACGAAATCTCTCCAATGAAATTTATATCCGATGGTTTAACATTTTAAAGATTATTATTAACTTCTATAAGAGATTCTTAACTCTCACTTTTATTAACCAGATGATGATGATGATGATGATGATTTGTTTAAGATTGAGTGTGTAAACAATCGAGTCGGCCTCGAAAAAATTTTTTTTTAATTATCCATCCTCACTTCAAAAAAAAAAAAGAAAAATCGTGTGATTAAAACCTAAGTAATTATAATATCAATAATAATAATAATAATAATTAAAATAATCGTTAATTGTTCTCTTTGACCTCATCGTGAAATTCTTTTCTTTACAAAAAAAAAAAAAATTTATTCTTAAAACAACGCATTAAGTACTTGACAGGTGTCGGATAGTACCCGTACCTCCCAAAAAAAAAAGAAATTTTTCGGGTAAACATTTTACACGTTGATTACTTTTCAACACTTGAAATCGAGATACCAGTCGAAGATATTTATTTTTTAAATGTTGGTATTCTTGTCGTTGATTTTTTTCTTTTTTATTTTAACGCGATCGAACAAATACAAAAAAAACTTTTAACTTATTTTAGAAACAAAAATATTCCAGGGTTTATTACTGGAAAGAATCTCGAACGAGTCTAATTCAAAACAAAAAAAAAAAAAATGGAGAAAGTTACGAGTAGGTAAAAACGTGTTGATTGTGTGTTGTGTGAATGATCATCATCATCATCATCATCATCATCATCATCGATGAAATTTTTAACTTTATTCTCATTAAAAAAAAATTTCCCGGGGGGGGGGGAAAGAAACGACAACGGGAAAAAATTTTTTGGGGAGGGGGGTTAATATCGATGACGTTATTATTATAGTTATTTGATTAATCATTATTATTAATAACTTTGATATAATCATCATTCATTTCCGGTTTTATTTCCCACGCAAATTAAATAAATAAAAAAAAAAAAAACGGATTCGTTATTTTTTGCAAATTATAGTTAATTTCGTTTAGGTACGATTACGTTAGTTTGCAAAATTTTTAACGATTTTTATTGCTCGTTCGCCATTTTTTTTTTTGCTGTATGCTGATGAAATGAGTGAGTGAGTGAGTGAATGAGTGAGTGAGTGAATGAGTGAGTGAGTGATTCGTTGTATGAATGAAAAAAAAAATCGTTTGTTTTGTTTGTTTGTTTGTTTGTTGCTAATCAACTTACGGATATTTTTTTTTAAAAATTCGTTTCGATAAAAAAATTTAATGAGGATATTATTAATGTACGTATCGCTTTAATAGAAAAATCTCGTACTTTCTTCTTACGTAAGTAGTAGTAAGAACGTTGTAGGTTTTTTTTTTTTTTTTTTTTTAATGAAATCGAGGAGAATTGTGACGATGAAATTTATCATCAAAGGAAAAAAGAAAAGCCCAGAAGGAAAAAAATTTTTTTTTTTTTGACGTGTGAATGAATGAATGAATGAATGATTCCTTTGTATTATTCGAAACTTTTTTTTTTTTATTAAAGTGTTTTCGTCTCTTTTCGGCTAATTTACTAAATAATTCATTATTGAATGACGTTGAATTTTTTTTTTCATTTATAAAAGTAAATAATAATGATAAGTGTAATAATAATAATAATAATAATAATAATAATAATAATAATAATAATTGTAATCGATTCGCAAATAAGATTTCACCAAATTTTTAAAACTTTTGTAAAATTTAACAATGAAATTTTATTTTAAAAAAAAAAAAAAAACATTAATAATCGTGCACACGAGATCTGACAGGTTTTTTTTTTCTCTTTGTTTATTTTAATGTTAATAATAAATAAAATCTTTTATTTATTTATTTAGTTTTTCGCGCGTTGATAATTTTTTTTTTTTATTGCCGTTTTCTCTTTTTTAAAAAAAATTTGATACTTCGAACGAGTGGCACAAATTAAATTTACAAAAAAAAAAAAAAAAAAAAATTTTATTTTTTATTATTTTATTTTATTTTATTTTATTTCGTCGAAATCGTTTCGTAATGGTAATAATACGTTTTTTCGAAATGTTGAAATTGTTACAAAGGAAAGTTGGAAATCGTGGGGGGAGGGGAAGGGGGAAGGGAAGGACTCGGTGATTTAAATACCGTTTTCGGTAGTTGTACGTATGTAATACCCGGTTTAAATTCATCGTGATTAATATCATTAAAAAAAAGAAAAAAAATGGGGCCTTAAGGGGGTAAAAAAAAAATTACGTGGATTCGAATGATGCGGTAAAAAAATTTTTTTTTTTTTAAATATATCGGAATTCGATGAGACGACCACTTTTCCAAGACGATAATTTGTTTTTCGATTTCGGTGGCAAACTTTCACTTATAAATAACTTCGTAATAAAAATGTGCGTGTTTACATGCGGAAGACGATATGCCAGATGTTAAAAAAAAACATGTCGTTGTTGTTTCAATCAAACGCGAATCTCTCTCTCTCTCTCTCTCTCTATTATAGGTAATTCCCGTAATAAATGATTTTATATTGCAAATGTTAAGTAAAAAAAAAATTGTTTGTTTGTTTGTTTGTTTGTTATCGATGCGGTAAAATCGTGTGTTTGTTTGTATATACGCAACGATTACGCGCGGTTGTAGTACGTAATAATTGGACGTTTAATGTTTTCTCTCTATCTCTCTCTCTCTTCTCTCTCTCTCTCTCTCTCTCTCTCTCTCTCTCTTCATCTCTCTTTAATCGAAGAATGGCAGCAAAAATTTTTTGTTTTTTTTTTCGGGAGATAAACAAAAACGACAACAGAAATAATTAAAATTTAAAGAAAACACGTTTCGTGTGTCTCCCCACGTGTTATTAACCGGTATTATTAACGTGGTATTAACCGCACGAAATCGAAACGATAATTAAAACTCGCTTAACCGGATATTAAAAAAAAAAAATTTTTTTTTTATCATTAGAAAACGTTTGAGTCTCGTCTCGGAGATCCGTCTCGTGCGAGAGAAGAAATATTTTTTTTTTAAATCGAATTTTTTTTTTTTTTTTACCTCGAAAGGAAATTAAACTATTTAAAGATGATGGCAATACACTTCCGAATATCGAATAAATAATATAAAATTTGTATGAAGATATAAGTTTATTTATTATTTGTATAAGTTCCGCGTTTTTTTTTTTTTTCGGGGCCTTATGCTTAAATATAAAAGTCATACTACTTTCTTCGACGCTTTTTTTTTTTTTTGGCTTTCTTTCTCTATGAATTGAAATATTAGATAAAGATGAAAAAGATAAATTTAATTAAAATTTTTTTTTATTATTTTCGGTTGTCAAATGGTTGTGACGTTTCCCCCCCCCCCCTACCCCCCATTTGATAATTAATCATTTTTTTTTTATATGTGAATAATCCGGTCGACGGTCGTATCACGAGATTTTTTTTTATATATAAAAAAAAATTTCTCTTTGATGTAAAAAAAAAAAAAACTTAATGAATTACAATCTTGCGTAAAATAATAATAATAATAATAATAATAATAAGGTCATGACGTTTGAGTTTTCCAAAATTTTCCAACCGGAATTTTTTTTTTTTAATTTGTCGACACGACAGCAAAGGTTATGCGTTTAAAAATTATTATTATTATTATTATTATTATTATTATTATTATTATTATTTCGCCTCGTCAATGAAAAATATTTTTAATGAACGTTAATAATAATAATAATGATGAGAAGTTGATGTTTATTTAAATTTTAGTATAAAAATTTTGCGAAATTTTTCTGCGTTTTTAGATCGTGTTTAAAACATTTTTTTTTTGGCTAACTCTCTCTCTCTCTCTCTCTCTCTTTCTTTTCCCCCTTTTGTACAACGTGATAATAATAATTTTTAAATTAAAATGAATCGGGCGATGATGGGAAAGATTAATTTTTTTAGTAAATAAATAAATAAAAATTTTTAAAAAAAAAAAAAAAAAAAAAAAAAAACATGCACGATTTCGTATGGCAAATAATTAATCAAAAACTTTCATTGAAAAATAACAACGATAAAAAAATATTTTTCTTTTTTTATAAAATTCATTCGGCGTAATAATAATAATGATTGCTTCGGTGTGTGCGTGCGTGCGTGCGTGCGCGTACCGTAATTGTATATTTCTTTTGAATTTCTAGATCCTTTTTAAATTCGTTAAATACT